GTTCTGTTAGCTCTACGCCTGCCGAAGACACAGACGTCCGTCCCCGTGAACACTGGGACGCAACTCAATGGGAAAGGAAAGGATTCTGATTTCTGATTTCAACCGTTGCGTATATTAGCTGCGACATATAAATCACGATGCTATGACCGAAAAACATGTGACTGACAGATGACCGTTGATATATGATTGGCCGAATTTAGGTGTTCAGGCTGACGTAGAACTAACTGGCCTGCAGAAGATAAAGGGAAAAAAACACAGATTTTAAGACGGGATTTTTTTTTTATTGAAATTTTCTACATTTTGGGACAAAATCCTCTGATAAAGAGTAAATTTATATTTATGTTTAAGGCAGAATGATTTGAAAGTTGAAGATGACTTTCCTAGGAATTTTAAAATTCCGCTGAGGTTCGTTCAGTTGGATCAGAAGACGACGGGCAGCGTCTCTTTGGCTTTTAGGTTCAATCGTCTTATTTTTCATTTCAGCATCATAACCTTCCCAGATCATCGTCTACCATCTTCTGTATTTGTTGTTTTTGACATAAAGTCAGAATCTCATTCTTTAGTGAGGTCAGGTTTGAGTCCAGAGCAGGACGTGGACACGCCGTTAACCCCCAGCATTTCTGTTGTTCCTTCATTGCGACAAACGAACAGCTGCTTCAGGTTTACATCAGATTTACATGTTTAATTATTAAAACCCATCTATTGAAACACAATAGATTTTGACAACAAAGTATACAAATGAAATAGAAATATTCTCCTCGTTGCTCTGGAAGATCCATTAAAAAAAGGCAATCAAGAAAAGAATAATAATGAGCAATACTTCACAATAAACTATCAGAACATTCAATATAACATGAGTTGGGTTTATTTCGTCTTTTTCTAAACATTTTCACGTTGGAAAAGTCTGACTTCGTTTGTCTTGTGGATAAAAATATCCCCAAAGAGTTTGATGTGATTCACAGTTTCTTGTCTGCTGCTGCTGCAGGGATTCCTGCTGTTACATTAAGTCTGCAGTATGAATCCGCGCCTGGATTCCAGCACTTACGCACACGGCGCCACTCGTTTTCAATCAGAAACAGTCACCTTGCTGAAGCTACTCTCTGAGGGCACGAAACAGGCAAACACACAGAAGAACTGAATAAATATGCAAACCTTCAGCTTCGGGATGCAAACAGAGGAAGAATCCAATTTACATACTGTATGTGCAGTCGGGATACACCGGTGAACAAACTCTCTTTTTTTGTCTGGGTTTTCCTTTTTTTTTTTTTGGCTCGAAGAAGAAGAAGAAGAAGAAACTACAAACTGAGAAAGTTTGAAAACGTCATGCTTGTGATGCTGAGAGGCTCCGAGTCGTTTGTTCCCAGCTCCCTTTGACCCCCCCCCCCCCAGTTTAGAAAGCAAACATGACACATTTGCTGCTAAATCAAACAACTTCTTCCTGTCAGTGAAGAAAGAAAAGCCAAAATAAATCTGCAGCCCTTTTAAAACCAACGTCAGGCACCAAAATCTCACATCTGCATGAGGAGCTGTTTCCACATTTCCTCACAAAGTGAAAAAGACTTTTTTCCCTCATCAATCTGCAGCGTCTCTTTTAATATTTTTTTTTATATCCCAGAACTAAAGATGAAATTATTTGAAAATAATTCAAACCCGTGGAGGTTCTGATCTCCCTTTCCTTTCCCTAATCAAGCCAACCTTCACTGCGTTGAGGACGTAGAATGAACAAATGTCACGTGACCGATGGCAGAGCGGATAAACGTCTGGATGTGCGTCTGTGTTGAAGGCGTAACGTGCCCTGAAGAAGCGGCGGCGGTTCGGCGTTGAAGCCAGGCTAGTGGGTGTGACGGAGCAGGAAGCTCGGGTCAAAGTTCATCCTGCTAATCCAGCTCGTCTTCTGCATCCATGCTGAGCTCCCTCCTTCCTCCTCCTCCCCTGCCAGGCAGCTGCCTTCCTCTGTCATGTTCCTCCTCTCCTTCCTCCTCCTCCTCCTCCTCTTCATCCATGCCTTCCTCCTCCTCCTCCTCCTCCTCTTCCTCGTCGTCCTCCGTGCCGTCCATGGAGTCATCGGCTCCCAGCATGGCCTGCTGCATGGCCAGGGTGGCAGAGTCTGAGGACAGCGACTGCAGGCCGTCCATGCTGAGGGGGTCTGTGGGAACGGACAGACAGGAGTTAGTGGGAACCTCAGACATCAACTGGTTTTACTGGCATGGCCCAGAAACTTAATCTGTTTATATTTATCATTTCACCGCCATTAATCTTCAATTAATGCAGCTTCTGCTTCTCACAATCATTTCGTTTTTAATTCTCATCAATTATATCATTTTTTGACTGTTACCTTCACTGATCCATGCTGGCTGAAAACTTAAATAAAAAATGATTCTATTCTATTCTTACCTATTCTATGCTATCATGTTCTATTCTGTTCTATATTGATAGATCAGATTGAATTAATCTAAATCCAACATATTTTTGAAGCAGTTTTTCTCAGATTATTGATCATGTTTTACCATCTTAGTTTTTTCATTAATCTCCATGACGACGGAGTATTAGCGATGAATGTTTTCACGCTGTGAGAAGCTAAAGCTAACATCCAGAGGTGGTGGAGGGATTCTAAACACGGGTTGATGCTTCACTTCCCTGCATTGTTCAGTCTGCTGAGATTACAGCAGAAATTAGAAGCGGCTTAAATCCATAAAGTATTCTGAGTTCCTTTGTCTTTATCCGGCTGCTCCCGGCAGACCTCCAGCTAGTTGGGAAAACATGTTCAGCTGATCCCTGAGGGAAACTTCTTTTAATAAATGACAGAATCTTTGCCCTTGAAATCTAATCTTCCTCAGTTTACAGACACCGAGCCAATGCTGCCATCTAGTGGTGAGAGTCGAGACACATTTCAGTCATGACATTGTTATCATGACAGAAAGATGCTGGTTTGAATGGTTAGTGTCTTCTTTGATCCGGTGAGAAATCCGACTGCAGATAGATTACTGAGCAGAGGTTCTGAACAGATTATCGTTTACAGATTAACTAAAGCTGATCTATGAATATATCACTTTTGCTCTGGCAGCAGAGAAAAAGCTGTAAATGATCCTGCTGAATCACCCTGTGATCCCATCAGTAGACTGACAGCCGGAACAGAGACGACATGTCGTCATATAACGGTTGGCATCAAAGGAAAACTGCCACCAGCGCAGAGCTTGGTTAACCATGGCACCAAATCCTCACAGCCAGAGAGGAATAATGTTCGGATGATTAAGGACAGCAGAGACATCGCGTCTGTCCAAACACTTTGCAGTTAGAGTTAAAGAGCAGGATCAATGGAAGATCAACTTCCTTTTGGCTACAAGTTCTTATTTTCCAGCATGATGGCTTCATGGCTCAAAATAATAAAAGGAAAAAGTCTCTCAAAGATCACAGAATCAAATCTTAGTGACAGTGAGAGCCTGAAGTCTGATATAGAAAAGCAGCTGAGGAAACCTAAGAAAACTGGAATTAACTAACAAATGTCTAAACAATAAGCTGAAGGCTTAAAAACACCACCCGTCCATGAGCCTGTGTGTGATTGGATGATGGAAGAGTTGATCTGTGGGAATGTGACGTACTTTCTGAGTTGTTGACTGCCTGAGATCGGTGCGTCTGCAGAACTCCGGCCACAATAGAGTCGGGCCAGAAGCGCTGCGTCGGGCGGTGCTGGGACTTCATCTTCTTTGCCTTTGGAGCCGGGTCTGGATTACTGGCATCCAACATGGGCTGAAGGATTCGGCGACGGGCGTTGATGAACCTTTAACAACAAGACATGGAAAAGAGATGATGGGAAACCTGAAAACAATGTAGACTGCAATGAATTTTACACAGATTATTCAGAGGAAATTTTAAATCTGTTTTAGAGAATTCTAAAAGTTTCAAACCTTCATCTAGAAATTAAATTTGGTTTCTACACTATTTTAAAATGAAGCAAACTTCTATCCTCAGTCATGATATTCTCATGGCCTCAGAAAATGGACTTTTATCTGTGCTCGTCCTGTTAGATCTCAGTGCTCAGTAATTAAACTGCTTTGATCCAGTTGAACTTTCAGAGTTAGCAATACTATTGTCTTCATC